ATAGCAATACAATAAAATTTTGAGTCATGCGAGTCATCAAACGAAATGACATGGCCTTTCACCCATGACCCATCTTAAAATGGTTAACAGGGTTTTACTGTATACATCAATAAAGCTTTTATATACATACTATAGTGTAAGATTTGCCTGTGATTTCATTGGCTTGGAAACTTGGCTAATATGTCTGAAGTTGGAAATGGTAGTGACAAAGAGAGGATTTTTTTTTCAAGACCTGAGTTGACAGTAATTATCAAAATGTTCTCTAAAAGTTGTAATACTTATCAATGTGAATTTGTCTATTTATGTTGGTTTGACTTTCAAGTTTTCTTGGTTTTTTTTATTGATCCAAATTGATGAAGATCAAAGTAATTTCTGTCTCTGTTGATAGGGATTGATATATATATAGTGTTGTTGTACTCCACCCACCAAGTTCTACTTATTTACTATTCAAATATCCGTACATTCCAGCCATAGGCTATGATTTGTGTATATTATGTTAGTTTTTACTCCATTTACACATGGTTTTGTGGTAATGACATGAAGAGAAGGTTGTATAGCTTTTTTGTAACAGTCCTGAGTTAATGTTTTGTATAACCTAGAATGATAAGTTTGGAAACTTCAGTAACACAGTGGTGACTTTAAAATCTTGCAGGTTTGTGTTTTTTATAATTTGTTGTATGTGAATGAAATTGGTCACTCTTGTGATTACTGTAGTGGTGTTTCTACATGCCCTTTTTTATTCAAAATTCATTAACAGTTATTTTCTGTATAATGATTTTTTTTTAACTGGAGATGAAACTTTAAGTAAAAAGGAAATGGGGAATTTTATGTATCTTACCAAGTCTTCTGTAATCTTCATGCTAGCTAGTTTGACAAAAAAATATTTTAAATATTCATTTTAAACCACATAAGAGGTTAGGTATTACCAGTATTAGTTGAAATATTTATGGTGTATTTGCTGGTAAACAAAGTTGGATTTTGTATAGAAATGTTTTATAGTCTAGTAAATAGTATAATGTACTTCCTAATTTTGAATTCTTTAAATTGAAAAATTAATTTATTGTAACACTGGCAAAAATAGTAAATTATTATTTTTTACTTGTTGTTAAAGAGTACTTAAAATATATTTATCTAATACAATGAGAAATTAATATATTGTGTTTGTTCAAAACTGGCTGAATTGATAGTAATGTGCACATATTGACTGAATTGGCATAGTGGTACACTTGTTCCAATTTGACTAAACTGGTAGATTTCATTTATTTTTTGAAAATCCTTGATAAATTGTAATTAAAACTACTTGTTCAAGTCACCAGCAGGTTAATGCAAACATTTATTCCAGCATTGTCCACTTCTTTTGTGCCAAAGAATGTGATATAATTTTTCAAAGTAACGTAAATATAAACTACTTGTATTTTTATATTATTACATGAAAGCTGAAATGTTTTTAAATTGTGTGGGAGTGTGTTAAGTTAGGCATATATTTACACTATCAAGAAAGCAAGTAGTATTCAAAGATATCAGCCAGTACAATTTGGGCATACTAATTATCATATTAATACCAAAAGTATGAGAGTAGGATTTGTATTCAAAAAAAAGTAGTATGATTTTTGTCAATTATATATTCATTAAAAGTCAGAAATGTACTTTTATTTCTGATATTTTTCTGTTGGTCCAGTACTATTTCACAATGTAGCTTGTAGCTCTGTTTATTTGTTTTTTGTCTCTAATCATTGTGTCAATTTTAAATCTCTGAGTTAAAAAGGTAACTCTTACATTACCTAATATTTTCTTATGGCAATAATTTTCATCTTTTAATATTAATACAATTTCAGAAGAAAGAAATTCTCGGACTTTGTTTATTAGAATGCTACCTGAAGATGTAACAGTTGCAGAAGTAAAAGCTCTCTCCCCAGACATTGTGACTTGTCGAATTCCTATCAAAAAGAAAAGGAAGAATAAAAATGTGTAAGTATGTTTATTGGTGTTGGTTTATTTATTATTCTTCGGGGGTTTTCTGCAATGTGTTAGTGATTCATTCAGAAAATTTGACCCAAAAAGTCGTGTCAATTTTTTTAACATTTTTTTTTCATCTTTTTAACATGTACAAATATTAGTTGTACCAGTGGTAAATTACCTCATTACATTAGTTAGAAATTTCTTTTTTAAATGGTAATTGAGACAACAAAACTGGATTGTTATACATCATCCAAGTCGACTAATTTGTGTTTTGTTGGTTTATACCAGCTTCTTCTATAGTAAAATCAAGAAAAATTCTCTCTCTCAAATTCATCCTGTAGAGTTGACTTAATGTATATGTTTAAAACAAACTTGTAAAGAACTAATACAAATATTTTGAATTGGTTAAAAAATGGGTTTATTATTTAAATCAGAATCTTGTTTTTTTATATTTTGAAATGCAAAGTTATTCTTCTTTAAGTGCTGATATTATAAAATTATTGAAGCATTAAATGTTTCTGTAGATCTCCTTCTTTCTTTAAAGTATATTATATATAACTGAAAAGTGAAAATAACCAACAAAGTTGATCTCATATTGAAATAAGAAACCAGAATAAAGACTGTTTTTTTATATGTTTAAATAACTTGAACTTATCTTAGATATGTATAATGTTGTTTTATTCCCTCAGTGTATTGGAGAACATTATCTTACCTGGAAATAACTCATTTTTCCCTGTAATTCAGAATGTAAGATAATTTCTAAAGCTTCCTGCCACAAAGGACATTAATTCAAGTGTGTTTATTCTGTTTTTCATCTTCAGGTTTGCATTTGTGGAGTTTAATAGTGAAGAAAAATCAGAAGAGAATTTTGAGAAATTAAAGAAGAAAACAGTTCGAGGAAAGCAAATATTTGTTGATTACACTGGAGAAAAAAGCTTAACACATAAACCCTCTCATCAAAATTGGGATGTAGATAAGAAAGTTTTGTTCATTACCAATATAGATCCAAGTACGACATTAGAAGATTTGGGTGAATTTTACCCACGTTCTTCAGAAATTAAATTTCAGAAACCTGCAAAAGATGGTCATTTCAGGTAAATGTATTTTTATTATCATATTGGCTTGTAGTAAGTAGAAGAGCTGGGCAATTAGCAAAACTTGCTAATCGATTATTTGTCGGACTTGTTAATTGATCATATTCAACTAATGGATTGTTCTCACATGATGACAAAAAACATAACTAGAACTTCCTAAATGATTACCAGGAATTTTATGTTGGTAAAGCTTTATCTCTTATTTTGTTTAGCCTAACATTAACTGTAGAACAATTATCAATTTACAGTGAAATGAAAAGTTAAAAAGTATGAGATAAAATAAAAAATACTTTTTGTTTTTACCGGAATGACTGCAGATTGTAACAGACAACTAACATTCTCAGCTTTCATTTAATTTTATAGTTTTATTGTATTTTGAAATTTCTCTCAGTACTTGAAACGCAATAAATTTTCCAATGGGAGAGCCTAAGGTAAACAAATGATCAGGTTACATAATGCAAGCTCCAAACTGTGTGCTCTCCACAAGTGACTATCATGAGAAATGTTTTTTTATTTAAGTTTTTGTTATCTAACCTATGAAGTTTCTACTTTTTTTACACTTCAGCTACTTTTTTTTAAAAAATATATAAGCGAAATCTGGCACTTCCTTTAGCTTTGAAGGCATTTGCACTTCTGTGCTGTGGTTTAGTAAATCTTCTTTTGTCCAAAGTATAATTCACGTAGCTTTCAAATTGCATTTTAGAACACGAAATATACCAAGCACTAAAAATAGAATGTCCCAAAATGACTGTGATTTATCTGGCTTTCTAACTAAGCTATAAATGTTAAAAAATTCCATTATTGCTTGGAGCAACAACTTACTCAACACACACACAAAATTTTCTTGCAAACTGCAAAACTTGCTAACTAGACAAATTAGTGTAAAGGACCTGTACTTTAAATCTGACTTTTCTATTGGTTATAAACACATCCATCAATTAAGGAGTGTAGATAAATTTGTTTAAAGCTATGGTGATTGGAGGAGCTTCACTTGTGGGTTGAATAAAAATATATCTCATCAAATCAAGAATGTGAGGTTCACATTTTTATTTCTAATTCATTAGACACTCTGAAAGCCATATAAAGAAGCAAGGAAAATATAAAAAGGAGAAAATGGAGGCTAGATAAGTTGTGACAAAAAGAAGTGAAGATTGAAAATTTATTTAAATATTTCCTTATGAAGCTAAGGAATTAAAATTTAGATAATATAAAACTGAATTATAAACTATGTTTTGGTGTCAAGTTTATTAATATACATTAATAATAATGTTTAATTAGATTTTGAAAGTAATGCTTAGAAAAAGAATATTGACTCACTGTTATGCACAGGGTTAATTGTAAATTACTGGATAGTTATGATAATCAAAAACAATAATAACTGATTGTTTCTTGAGACTAATCAATGCTCTTAGGTAATTGATTATATTTATTAACCCTATGAGCATAAGTATGTCAGAGTATAGTTGTCACAACCTTTTTACAGAGTTTACCTAAGTTTTAATTTCTGAACTTTAAAAGAAAATGTTTAAATACTCAGTCTTCACTTCTTTGAATCGCCTGACACTTTTTTGCTCTGATTTGCCCAATTTTAATTTTCTTTTTACCCCTATATGATCTGAGTTTGACAGAAATTTCTAAGCCATAATATATATATTCATAGCCTTCAAACTTCTTGCTTTACTGAGATATGAACAACAAAGTCAGACCCATATGCTATTCCCCTCTTATCACATCTTGTCTTTCAAAAATGTCAGTAATTCTCTCTGACACTTGCTATTTGATTATGTATAACAAATAAAAAGAGAAGGTTCTGTTTTATGGAATTTGTTACAAGGCTAATTTGTTCAGGCAACAGGTTTGGAAATATTTGGCCTCGGTTTGGCCTGACCAACTAATTGAATTTTTTTTAACCCATTTATAGTACTTTTAGGACATTCTGTTTCTGTACATGATTATTTTCTGTTCTAAATTGCATATTTGAAATAAAAATAATACTGTAGAACAAAATTGTTCAAAAAAAGTAGACTTACAGTGCTTCACTATTCTGATGGGAAAAAGATAAGAATCCCGCATAAGTATTAAATTTCTTGTGTTATTTATTGTTATAAAAGTTGGAAACTTGTTGAGATAAATGAGAAAAATTAAATGGAAATATTACTCCTGATAATCTATTCATAACATGTGCACATTCTTGAGGCATGATTTTAATTTGGTGTGACATGCTTGTAACTTATTTGTTATTTACACAAAGCTGTCTAGCTGTGATAAATGTCTCTTGGTATACTCTACGAAGATCTAAGTACAGCTCTAAAGCAATAAATCTAAATGAACCCAAATTTGAAAAGTATGTTACCTTTGGCTATAAGAAAAAATAGTTGTAATTGTCCATAACAATATGCAATCATTATAGAAAGTAAAAAAAGTTCATTTAGGTTTATTTCGTATTTTTCAACTTTTCATTTTACCCTACATTGCTAATTTTGCACCAGTTAATGTTAGGGTAGAGAAAATAGCAGATAAAAGAAACAATATTGATTTAGGAGGTTCTGTAGGTTATGTAAATAAAATATCAAAACTGTATAATGGAAAGAAGTGTTTTTGTTCTTAACGTGAAAATCATCTTTCACTCCAACTCACTAAATAAAGACTTTGTTAATTTACAAACAAATCTTTAGTAAAAATAATTTATTACAAAAATTTATTTTTTATGTACAACAGAGTTGTAATGTTTATTAAAAGCTTGCCAGATTTTGTGAAGTTACACTTAGTAAATTCAGAGTTATAGTATGTATAACTTCATGGTTACAAGTTTGAGCCCATATACAAGGGGTTAAATGAGTTAATTGCCCAGCTATAGTCAGCAGGAGTGAGACAGTACACTTAGCTTATATGATATTTATTGCAATGCACAAATCATATTCATGAAGCCCCCACCACCAAATGACTTAAAAATAATAGTTAAATATTTTGATCACACAAACATTTCAATAGAAGTACATTTATTTACCAATAAAGAATGTGCCACTTGCTTGCAATTAAAGCAGTTACCAAAACAAATTAACTGTATCTTGCCAGGTTTCTTTGGCTTAACAGAACCCTGCATGATGCTGGTGTATGTGTACTGACATGTTCATTTGATTCCTAGTGTGTTTTATGTTTGTTTGCACATGATATTTTGTTTGTCAAGTTTCATTCAACATTCCTGAAGGGCTCTGAATTTTAGGTTTGTAAGTTTCACTTGTATCAGGCTTGCTGCTGATGGCAGTTCTTGAACTTGAATTTCAGAAGTTGCCATGCTACACACTACACATAGCATAATAGGATACATTCACATACAATTTACATATGACCATAGAATCATGGAACTAATTCTTGCTGTATTATGATGCATAAGTTGTTAATTGTGTATTGAATCTTTGTACGAAAGATCTTGTTGCCTCGATCTTCGATGAATCATTCCACCCATAGTTGTCAGCAAATAGTAGGCCGTAGATTTGTATTTATAACGGGTAAAAAGTTCCATTGTGTTAGTTTTTGATCGTGAGAAGCAGAAACCATCAAAAGTCTAATTATATTAATCATGTGATTAATAAAAGCTTTTAAGGATACTTGCTCGTGGCTATTATTGTACCACCTTCGAGTCAAATGCTTCTTGACTTCTCAGGAACTGTTAGATATGTTTGGCATTTTTGTTGTCAAGACAGGTTTAGTATTAAATATAAGTAAAGTCAATGGTAGTTAATAAATCTTTAACCAGTTATAACCAAAAGATTGAGGCGAAACCCATTTTTAAAAAGGTATGATAGGCAAGATTATTCATAATGTAGTTATGAAACCAATCCTTATAAAATATACAGAAAAATTGTTTGCTCAAAAAACACAGATTGTTTCTTTCCTTTCATTTTAGGTATGTCATATGCTATAAAACAAGAATATTGATATAATTATTAAAAAAAATGTGAAACTGCAAATTTGTATGGATCCAACAAACCTTCATGCCAATTTTACTGAAGATCCATCAACAGGGGGCGAAGTAGTGGTAAAAAATACAAAAATTAAGAGGCAATTCAAAAAAGTATTGAAGCACATGCAAAAGATATAATAGTACTGTCTGTTGTACGTCCATGTAACTACTTTGCAGGATGTGGATGGATCTTCACCAAAATTGGTATGGAGGTTCATTAGGTCCATGCATACCAACAAATTTTTTGTTTTTGTATTTTTTATGGGCATTTGAATGTTATTGGTCCTTTTTTTATGTTAGTACTACACCTGATGATGATGAGTTGCCTCATCCTGTTTATAATGTTTCAGAAAAAATAAACCTACAATTTTATTTTATTGAAGATTGTTTTATTTGATGTATGTTGCTTTACTTTTCTCCATTTTCTTTCTAGTTTAATTCACCATACAGTGTTTATTACTTGCTAATTTTCATGATTCATGCCAATTTTTAACTTCTGTTAGATTGCCATTTGTGAAAATGAAAACATCTATGGCTTCAGTTAGAAGCTAGTTTATAAAACTATGAAAAAGCTAAAGCTAAATCAATGCACATATTTACATATTCAGTAACTGTTCTTCTCACCAGTATTCAGAAATACACATGAAACTTTCCAAGCTGCTTTGACCAGAAAACTATCACACCTCTCAAATGAGTTCTTAATAAGAGTTAAAAAACAATGTTAAGGTCCTGTCTGATAATTATATTCATTATCTTACCTAACGGTTGTCTCAACATGAAATTCACTTAGCTACTTTGTGCTAAAATATGTTACACGTTATTGTATCTATCATTTTAAAATAATTTAAAGCACTAGACACAATAACATGTGATTTATTTGCCACAAAGTTGCAGACAGAACTTAGTGCACTTTCTAAGACAAAAGAGTTCAGTAATATTATGTTAAATATTAGTTTTTCTGTGGCAAAATTTCCATTCAGTCTAACTGTATATACATTGAAATGTGTACATTAAAGCAAATTTTGAAAAAAATTCCAAGATATGTTAGCATTGTTTGGGTTTATAGAAAACTGAAATAAGCTACTGTCATTTTTTGTTATTTTCTTAAAGATATTGAATATTGCTTCTATGGCTTGGTTTTGTATAACAATAAAGTAGAATTTTTATTTTCCGTGATACACGTTTAAATACATTTAGGTCTAGCTTTCATTTTCTATAAACACCTTAAAAATCTATCACTAAAACAACAATGAAGTATAATAAATTATAAGTTAGTTTTTTAACTGTTTGTTATATGTGAATAATAGTTTCTCTTTTAAAAGAAAAGTCTTTCATGCAGTGTCATAATAAACATTACCTCAGCAGTATAGTTATTATAAATTGTTTGTTTTGTTAGCCTATTTTTGTTAAAAACCACTTCTACACTAAGCATTATGGTGTTGAAGAAAGTAAACTATATTAGTCCATATTGCAATTATAAGCAGCAGTGAGGGGTGTGAAAACTCATTAATATTGGTACATTATATCACATGGACATAAATTATTACTCTTTTCACAGATCATTTTAAATAACTAATGGTGTTTTCTGTGTTCATAGGGAAGCATATGTGAAGTTTGAGACTGAAGAGGCAGCAGCAGAGGCATTTAAAAAAAGTGATAATCTGAAGATGAAAGGGAACATTCTTGTGGTGCTTTTTGCCCATCTTAAAATCCAAACCAACCAATCAAAAACAAAAAAGAGGAAAAAGTGTATGTATGCATTTTCTAACTGTGATGAAATTGTTTAAGTTTTAGCATAGGTTACTGGAATATAATAACTGTGGTCTAGGTTTGTTAGTACTGCATTCTTTTCTTGTGTCATAGTTTTGATGGTCCTAAAACTTGGTAGCATTTTAGACATCTTAGTAAGGTAGCACTTTCATAACTTAAAGCAGTATTATGAACATTTTTCTATTTCCGTTTTGTTATTGTTGCACAGAAACATGCAGAGGACATTAAAAGAGCACTTTTCAAACATTATAAGGCATGACTTTGGGAGGGAGGCAGGAGAGACTAGAGACCATGAATTGCTACTTGTACAGAAAGACATAATAAGCAACATCATCCTTTGCTATATTTAGTTGGCATCATAAATACTTAGCAAAAACTAAACATATATCATATATAAGTATATCGTAATTATTTTCTTTCTGTTAAGATCTACATGTGTACCATTCATTTTAAAATTGAAATCCCACCCACCACCCACCCTAATAACTTGCAGCAAGAAAGGTGTGGAATCAGGCATGACTTTTAGGGGCAGAAAGGCAGTGGCTTGAGCCCTTCCCCGCCAACCCCTTGTGCACATCACTGCTGTTACAAATGTAAGCAAGTTGTATAGATGTTTGAATGCAGGTTATATTTTCCTGTGTTGAATAACTCCTACCTAATTAATTATTTGTTACTAACCCTGAAGCTCTAGCTTCATTGCTGTCAGTAGCATAACTTTTAATCCAAGATCAACTGTAACCATAACTACTAATGTTAATATGATTTTTACAAAGGTGTTATCAGTTGAAGTTTTTTGGGATTTATACCATTAATTGTGTATGAATAAGAGAGATTCTGAACAACTTGTGAATTTGGAGCCAAGTTTCTAACATTCAAAGATTTTCTTTTCACACTTCAATGCTAAATATCAATGATGTATAGACTGTCATTGAGACACGCCCTAGATTTTAAGAGCAGAAACAAGATTTACAAATATTATTTCACTTCTTTGAGTTAATGTTTTCTATTATTTACTTTACAGTTCAGAAAAAACAAAAATCCGAGAACCAGAAGGAAGAAGAGTATGAGAGTGATAGTGATGAGTAAATGAAACTAGATTTATTTTCTGTTTGTTTTATGTAATACAATCTCATTATTTATGAGAAAAAGTGGCAAGTCAATAAAGTTTCTTATACACTCTCCAATTGTCTGACCAGAGTTCCAGATTTTATATCTTTAATAACCACCTGAGTATTGAAGTTTTTGTAGTGAAAGTTTCAATTTTGCATAAAATAACTTTTACAAGCTATTTGTTGCATTTTATATAACTAGTTTAAGAAGTCTTATTGAGTTTACAGCATGATTAACACCTGGACAGGTACAGAGTATTGCCAAGATCATTATGTTCAGAGCACATGTGTATCAATAATTTTTAAGACTAAGTTCTCACTCAAGTAAGATTGCTATTTGAATATATGTGTGGCCACAAAAACTGTACTAGTTAGATATAAGATTTAATCTTCTAATGTCAGTATAAAAAACATGTTTCTAGCATGTTTTGTAACAGAATGTATTCTGATATATCAATTTAACACACATCCAAGAATATTTTTAGCTGAGACCTGTTTTATTTTTTTTTACATTTTACAGTACATCATTTTGTTTCAACATGTTTTACTTGATAGTTTATTTAATCACCATGTTTAAAATTTTATTCAAGAAAATATTAAAGCATTAGAAATTCATGTAGAACACATGGGCTCTCTAGTCTGCTTTTCATTTTCAAGGAGACTACAACAGTACAAGGTCTGTTACATGTTTTTAGTATTGGATAACACTGCGGATCCTAAAAAACAAGATAATGAAATAAGTACAAAAAGTTGTCTACATTTACTCTACAACAGATTTCCTTATATTTTATCAACTGTTCTACAAAAGGAAGTTCCATATTGATGCTAATACTGACATGTTTCTAGTATTTCTCATCAGTAAACGCTGAAGTTTCGGCAGAGATGTGTATTGGCAACTTTAGAAAGTCACGTGTTTTGTAATTCAGTTTATTTAAAACAAAAAAGGGGGGGGGGGACATGAAACAGCTTCGCCTTTTAAAAATAGGGGCAGCTGCAATATATCACAGCCTCGTCACGCAAAGCGCATTTCGTAATCAATACCTTTTGATATTAGTGCAAAAAATATATGAAAAAAATAGTTCTTGTGGTATTTTTTTCTTCGCTCTCATAATTCCTTGGACGGGATATCCGATGAGCACTTGAACTTGTAAAGAACTGAAACTTGTGGTAAAAAAGAATGTTACTCTTTTTTATTTAATAGAGAAAAGTTATGTGGTCCTTTTATACTATGAATTGTTCATTTAGGGGAGAAAGAATGTTACTGGTAAGTTATACTTAAAATCTTCACATAGATTCAAACGATAGAGGTCGCTGTTTTATCTTATATATGTATATATATATATAATTTGAGTCGTTGATTGACTTGTTTGTATTAAATTTACTGTTAGATATGCCAACTACAAAAATTATTTAGATGATTACAATTTTGGCCACAAAAATTAATAAAGTTGCAACACAACTACTAAAGGTATTTATATCTGTGATAAAAGACCACCCCTCGAAAAAAAATATCCATGCAAAAACATGTGCTGTCACTAATATAGCAGCAATGTTCGATTTATTACTTGAAATAAAAATATGATCTTCAAAGTTTATGTTAGGGCTGGGTTCTCTATTTCTAAACCTTCCATTTTTATTTGTCATTTCTGTTTTGACTTTTTTGATAATTATTTAAATCCAATTTCTTATGTGAAAGAGCAAAAAAATGTGTTAAACAAACTGAAGTTACCTTTAAAATAACTTAGTTGTCTGGTTTCTATTTGATATTCTTCTATTTTTTTCATCCAACGCTTATTCCACTGTTCCATCCGCATCTTTGCGAAGTTGCCAAGCGATATAAGGCATAGAATTATAGTTGTCTGTCTCTGTTGACAATAGATGTCTCTGGTTTCGGTTAATTGAACCATTTATTTCTCAGTCTACTAAAATGGGAATATTATGATAAAGGATGCGCGTCCAAAAAATTAAGTAATTTTCCTCTTGCTTGATAGTGATAGATATAGAATAAATTATGAAATTAGTAACCTAATCCTTCGATGTTAGTTTTAACTTGTGTAATAATAAACCACGAAAGTCTCTCACTCGTAATGTAATATCATATTTCCGCATTCCTTTCCCGATTTATCTCGTCAACCATAAAGATGTTTTAATTAATTGATCGTTAATTATGTAACTACACAAAATAATTATCGATGAAGTAATTTGTATTATGTAACAAATATTCACGTTTTGTCCAGTGTGTAATGTTCTGTATAAACAGGGGAACAAGCATCCTACCAATGAGTTGTTTGAATGATACACTAAAAATACATTGAAACCAACTTAAATTCTATGTACAATGCAGTATCTATACATTACGTTTAATTATGATGAGTCAACTGACATAACTATTAGATTTAAACTTTATAATGAAATCATGTTGAAAATGCACTTACGATTTGCCATCGATCATTAAGTCAAAAGCCCTGTTGATTTCTTCTAACGGCAAGGTGTGTGTTATAAAGTCTGATACTGGGAGCTTTCCCTCCAAGTAGCGATCTACCATTCGTGGGATTTCCGCTACACCTCTGTATCCTGGAATATTGGAAATACAATACTTTTATATTTAACTCCTTTTCTTTAATACTGACCATATCCGTGTACGTATGTTTATAGAGACAAATGAAACCATTGTGCATTTTCATAAAAACTTGTAGACACGAATGTAGTATATAAACTAATGTTATATTACCTCCAAAAAGGGTTCCCATCAAGGTTCTGCCCATCAACAACTTATAAGGTGGAAACGATAACTGTGCATCACCAGAAGCTATTCCAACAATCATTGTCACCCCCCAAACAGGGTGACTCGCCTCCAGAGCTGCTGTCTGTAACAAATAATAAATTAGCGATTAAACATTGACTTTTGAAACAGGTTCTGAAAATCCTTTACTACGTTTTTCATATACTGTATTGATAATTAACTTTATAAGACCCTGCGATAAACGATAAATGCTAAAGGTTTGATTTAAACTTGCAAAGAGGTGATGAGAATTTCTCAACGTTCACACAGTTAAAAATGACCTCGACTTCACATTAATATTTTTAAAATTCAGTTATTAATTTTATTTTATTTAAAGTTATTTGCTGGCTTATTCATCGAATGACAACTCCTGGTGGAGGGAGGGGACGAGCGTACCCTAATAGCTATCGTACTAAGCTATGGATCTGGAGTTTCTGCATTCGCGACCAATTACCGCGAAACATATATTGCAGATAGCCCTTTAGTACCTTGGCGCGAATATCCGAAAACTCGGAATTTCTATCTGCTAATTTATTATAATGGTCTATTTTACTTTAAACTCGATGAATAAGATCCATACGATCATTCACACTAAAACTTTGAATTTACTTCAAAGGATGTAACTGGTTGGCGTTTTAAATAAGATAATTGAAATTTACCATGGTATCTACATTTCCAATGCATTCGAACGTGAAGTCAAGACCGCCGTCAGTCATCTCTTTTAAAACCTCCTCAATGGGTCGATCAAAATCTGCTGGGTTCAAGCAGTCTGTACATCCAAACTGTTTAGCTGTAAAAATAAGTTATTGTTTCTAACTTATCATATCTTTATTACAGAGAAATACAGACACATATATAAATATGGCCGTGTAACTTTCTGACCTTCTACTTAGGTAGTAATCAAGAAAGAGAAAATAATGATAGTTTGAACACATTAGAAAATACAAAATTGAAATACTGTTCTAATCGTGTGAAGTGAGAATAACAATAAAATTAAACAATAGTATTATTGAATATTTACATACAAGTATCTACGGAGGCGAAGAAATAAGACTAAAAACATTTACAAGCCATTAATATTTTAGTTTACTTACTGATTAAGTATATTTATTACAAGTTAAAGTTTTTACAGTAAGTAAGATTTGTTTTAAGAACAGATACGACGTTTCGATCACAAGTTCAGCTGGGATCCAAGTAGCTTATAAATCCTGTTCTTCATTAAGAAGGAATCTCGTTACACCAAAGATAGAGGATTGATTTTGGAGAAAATCGATAGTATCAGAAACTGAATGTAATAAATGTAGCTCATCATATATAGGAGAAAAATTCGTATCAGGGAACACAAAAAAAGCTGTTAATAATTGTATGTTTGTAAAATTTTCATGTAAAATACTCTAATGCTATTTGCACTAAACCTACCTAATTATAAAATGATAGAATAGAGGAAAGACAGCTAATCAATACCGCCCACCTCCAATTCTTAGGCTACTCATTACCAAAGAACATTGACTATCTCATTATAAACCCCCCCCCCCCAGCTGAGAGGGCATGCTCGGTGACGTGCTTTCATCCCGCAATGCGCAGATTGCGAGTCGAGCAACCTAACCACCAGTCCATGTCATGCTCGTTCTTAATAAAGGAAAAATGTTGGGGTTCCGCGATTGTGTATAACTTTTTTTTTTTACCGATCGTTGCATTAACTGAAACAAGGTCAAACTTATTCATACGGTTACCAACTTTACTAGAGTGTACGTCAATGAGAATCAGACATTTAATGAAAATTACTTGCTGAACAGGCCCTTCAAAGGTTTGACAGGTAGTCATTGTAACCTTTGCTTCTTTTGTAATTATCTATTGCTGGTGTGTATTTTTCATCGGTTATTACTATCCCAGCAGTAAACATTTTTCACTGTTGGTTCCTGCCTCACAACACTATTAATATTCTTTGTATTTTTTTATTTATTTTTTGGCATTTGTTCTTTCATAATCTAACAATGTTTAGGTATTTTTGTAAAAAAGTAAACACCAACATAATCTAGTACTAAAAACTCTCGCTCTGAAAATTATTTTTTACTTTTATTTTAGAATGGTTTCTGGGAAGTTTTCACATACCTATCTTAAACTTATCAGGGTTAATGTCGATACCAATGATCCGGCTGGCGCCACTATCTTTGCATCCAACAACAGTAGCCAGCCCTATACAACCCAGACCCCAAACGGCCGTGGTCGACCCAGCTTTCACTTTGGCAGCATTGACTGCAGCACCGTAACCTGTACTAAAGCCACAACCAAATAAGCAAATTTCTTTCATTGGAGCAGTTGGATTTACCTGGAATATATAATTTTGAACATTGAAGTGATAATTCTTACAAAATACAAAGAAGGAGAACAACAATATTTAAACGGTTTAAAAATACTCTTTAATGACTCTGGAAAACAATGCTACCTTATAGAAAGTACTGGGATTCCACACACCTAACTATTAATAGGCCGGTTTCACACGGTTTACATGTGCAACTGATGCATCGGGTTATGTAGGTAAACTGTTGTCAGAGACAATAATTTTGAATAAAGATACTAGGAGGAAGGGAGATTCCAGATCTTCGCGGAAGTATTGTTACTAAATGTCCTGCCCCCGTTGGCAAAGCGGTATATCTGCAGACTTACAATGCTAGAAACCGGGTTTCGATACCCGTGGTGGGCAGAGCACAGATAGTCCATTGTGTAGCTTTGTGCTTAACTTCAAATGAACAAACAAACAATATGAATGTCCTATGTTATTGTAATTGTCCAATACTCTTCAGCCCATCTACTCATATCCAAATTCATTGTGCTTGTGAGTAACGTGGCAAAGAAGCGTAAGACCATTGGTGTGTTAATGTGGAATATTAGTTCATCCACGGAAAATTAATCACTCCTCGGTCAATATCCAGTACAAAATGGGCTGTGAAACTCAATTAAAATTAATGTTCCTTGCTATGGACCATCATAACCACAGATTCAGTATTGCTTTAATAATCGAAATCAAGTTTGGAAAAAGGAAAACTCATAACGGGGAATAGTATATCTCGATGTACATTATTTGATTTGGATGAATATTATATGTTAGGAATAAAATTTTTAAATTCCAGGCAAACTTAGCTAAGCCTATCAGCAGTGTTATGTAATGTAATGATGACCAGAAAGTGTTGTGTTCCAAGGAGTAAGAGGATTGAAAATAGTACGACATATGTGTCAGCGTTTAGTTGTTCAAAGGAAGAAGAAAAGAATCAACTGTAGCTTCGAAAAGTTCCAAGAAAGTACTGAAAATCACAACAACTAATGACGGTGGTATTTGCAAAAATACTTTGAAGAAAGATTCATTATTCGCATTGGTGTATTTATAATAAAAATGAAACATTAATGTTCCAAAAGCAAAGTAAAATTAGCTCATGGTGCTTATCCAAAATTATTTTCTAAACTACCTTCGTATCCTAGTATTAATTTGTCAGTTGCCAGAACAGATCCAGATAAACAGCTGCAGCTGTACATGCTAGGAATGAAGAAGTTTCAAAATGATCCGAAATTTATTATTGAAAGCCATTTTTTGCTTCATGAAAATCACATGTGCCCAGGCTAGATGTATAAAAATGAAGGCAATGCTGATTTGTATATTTTTTCAATTAAAGTGTATAGGACCACCTGCAGTTAGAGGAAATATTATGGCACGTAGTAATATGGAATAAACTGGCAATATCTGGATGTGTTTTAAGTTGAATAACAGCATGGCAAGATGTTCGCCATTTAATACTGTTAATGAACGTTAGTATGAATTTTTCTTTAAATTAAGATATCCTGAACAATATCGTATACATTGTTGGATATACGTACTACAAATTTAAACATAAACTAATATGTAACATATGCAGTTGTGGTATCTCACAGATAACCAGCAGAACAGAGAAGTTAAGATGCTTCTCGTATTTCAGGCATTGATTCGAATTTGGAGCTAGTTGCAATAGTTAGATCGTGAAGGAAGAGCCAAGACACAAGTTTACACAAATAAAAAAAATAATTAAGCTCACAATTTACAGTACAATATGATCTTGTGTGTATTTTAAATCAAACGGGGGTAGGACTCTTAAGATCAACAATGAAGACTTTAACCTGCTCTTGCTGGTGCATATTTTCCCCTCGTAAATTAAACTAAAATATAAAATAAACATATTAAATAAAGGCGTCCCCCACGTTAAATGTAAAACAGTAAAGTAACTCTCTCTTAAACTCTATTTGAATTTCACTACATTAACAACCTTATTTTCAAAACACTTAACTATTCCGTGAAGCAAATTCTAAACTGTTTGCTTATGGTGAATGTAAGAAAATTTAAATACTGGTGTACCATCAAGAGTATTGTGGCGCTCATTTTAAATAGAATTAAGTATAACACAAAGCTCTACAAGGAGAATCGTTCTGGTAGTGAACGGAGACACACGTACGTTGTGATTAATACAGCGGGCGGGAAACCGAACCGAAGTACCCTCACTGGCACAAGCGCGTCGTCAGTCGCCTACGGAAGCCCCAGCGGGATAATCAAATGTCAACGCCGAGCGTGAGCACTGATTCAGGTAAGGCTGGTTTGACTAACGACATATTGGCCTCTTACAGTCCAGAACTAAAAGAACTGGTAGAACTAGCTCAATTAGAATATAACGATAGAATGGCAAGTTTAGCTCCACGTATAACAAAGAAAGCAATCAGGCTAACAAAAAAAGGCACACATAAAAACACTTCTATGGAAATT